CCTTTCACTGGTGCTACTCCTCAGCTGCCTCCCGCCGGTCTAGCATTGTGTAGGTCCACCGCCGCTTGGCCCCTTCCACCGCCCTGACCTGACAACTACTCCTTCCCCCTTTTCCTCTGGGCAAGGGGCTGGAGCTGGGTTCCTCAGTTAGATTTTAACCCTTGCTGGATCCAGGAATCAGAAGAGACTAACCAGTTTCCTGACTGAGCATTCACTTAAGTGCAGAACAACAGTATTACTATAAGTCAGAACAATATGGGTGTTCACCAGCACACAACTCCCTGTACCGCTCAAATCAACATTCCCATAATTTTAGAGATATCAGCTCTCAGCTACGCCTTATTGTTCCTTTTCTGTACGCAAAGAATGGCTCCCAGATACCATCTGAGCACACTGTACCTTCTTTGGTGGCCAGAGCAATCTGAAAACAAGTCACACGGGGATGCATAAGCAATGGTGAAGAAATGCAGAAAGTGCTGTGTTAAAAAAATGCTAAGCAATAGTAATGTTAGCATAGCATAGCCCTGAATGGGAAAAAGTCTGTATTTGAAGTGTAATGATGCCCTCAAGCAGGACATGAGTGTAAGAGCACTCTGCCCATCTGTGATCTCCTCATAGTGGAGATCATAGCCATTGTGGCTATGAGTTTTTGATAGCCTTATCCTCCCTGAGTTTGTCTAATAGCCTTCTAGTGACATCCCAGTTGGCAGCTTTCACTGCCTCCTGAGTTCCATTGTTTAATCATGCACTGCATGAAGGTACTTTCTTTTCTGTGTCTTGAATGGATGAAGGATGGAGAAATGAGTGTGGAGTTGTGTGTGTAGAAACCATTGGCTTTTGCATGGCTGGAATGCAGTCTTATTTTCCCCCTAGCCCCACCTACCTTTGGCATGCATCTCCTAGGGCATTCCCCATGACAGAAAGCAGGTCTTGGCATGAAAAAGGTTTCTTATACCTCCACTGCGCTTGCTTGCTTGCTTGCTCTCTTACTCACTCACACACACAAATACAGCCTCGTTGTCTGCTGTGTTGGAAACATAAATGAGTGCTGTACTATTGCCAGCTCAAATATTTAGCTTGTGGCTTAGTTTGCAGTTTTGTTCCTTTATTGATTGTGTTTATTTTAATAATTGCATCCTGCTTTGAGAATTGTGATGGTTATAAGTCAAGGCCATGAGTAGCATAAATAAATAGAAGAAGTAATCTTTTACAGGAAGCGATAGTGGCATTGGACATGCATTGGCGAAGTACCTTGACAGTTTAGGATTCACCGTGTTTGCCACCGTTCTGAATGAGAGAGGGGCTGGTGCAGAAAAACTGAGGCAGTCCTGCTCCGATAGACTTTCTGTTCTGCAACTAGACATCACTAATTCGGTGCAGATTAAAGAAGCGTACCTTGAAGTAAGAAGGAAGTTGCAAGGTGCAGGTATGTGCTGTGAAGGGAGTTTGCACAATCCTCGTGGGTGTTGCTTGTGACCTGAAATGATGTTTTGCAAAGTTTCAAATGTTGTCTTGGTTGATCTAGGCCTCAGGATTCCAACACTCCTATTTCAGTATCGAAACCTGACGTGCCACTTGGTGCAGAAATTAGATGCTGCTTGCCTTTGGAATACGTGAACATACAATGAAGCTGAATGTTGGAAGATTGATGGCAGATAAACGAAAGTACTTTTGCAGCACAGGAGGCAGTGAGGGCCACCAACCTAGATGGCTTTAAAAGAGAATTCAACAAATTCATGGAGAAGAGCGCTCTTGATGGCTATCAGCGATGGCTGTTTTCTGCAATGGTTCTGAATACCAATTGCTGGAAACGGCAGGAGGGGAGAGGGCTGCTCTCGTGCTCAGAACATGCTTTCTCCTTTCCCAGAGGCATCTGGTTGGCCACTGTGAGAAACGGATGCTGGACTATGTAGGCCATTGACTTGGTCCAATAGGCTCTTCTTATTATCTGAAAGCTGAGCCAACATAATTCACAATATGTAACCAAAGCACAGCCAGCCTTTGAAATTTACCTTTCTTCTGCACTTTGCCGTATACTGTATGTCTGCAGCCATGTAATGCACACACAAAAAGCACGTGCTGGGCTAAAGTGTCCATAAAAATACATAGATTCATGAAAATTACACACACAAATGCATTGTGTATTATATAAAATACATAAAAGCCCCTTGTACAGACTTTAAAATACAAGCATCCATTATTAGAATGCACCATGAAACAGTCCCACTAAAATATAAAAAGTGTCCTCAATTAAAATTAACAATAAAAGAATCCTATAAAAGCAACACAGTAATTAGTAATACAGTGGTACCTTGGGTTACAGACGCTTCGGGTTACAGACTCCGCTAACCCAGAAATAGTACCTCGGGTTAAGAACTTTGCTTCAGGATGAGAACAGAAATCGTGCGGCGGCAGCGGGAGGCCCCATTAGCTAAAGCAGTATCTCAGGTTAAGAACAGTTTCAGGTTAAGAGCGGACCTCCAGAATGAATTAAGCTCTTAACCCGAGGTACCACTGTACTTTAATAATGGATGCTTGTATTTTAAAGTCTGTGCAAGGGGTTGTTACACGTTGTAAACTGCACAGAAGTCTATTTCAGCATAAACCATGCAAAAACCTATTTTAGCATTGAGCAGCATAGAAATTAAATAATGATACCAGCTGCCTGTTGCTTCCTCCCGTCTGCAGTCAGATGTTGTCAAATCAACTACCAAATGGATTGCTATATGTCAAGATGTTCTCAGATATTGACACTTCAACATCTTTGGGTCAAAGGCTGCTGTTAATTAGCACATATATCTGCTGCATATTTGGAGACAATTCAGCGTGAGGGATGGATTGATCAGTCCATTTTGGTTTCTCTGAGGGTTTTTTTTAAGTCTTCATGAAAATTTACAAGCATTTTATTGCAAATTGTTCACTATATACACATCCTTGTATGCAATTCTGCCTGATATACACATGTTTGCAAAGCCAATCAGTGCTGTTTTTCTAGAAAAAAGAGGTGCCAGAGCTCACCATGAACTTTTCCCTTGTTCTCTTAGAATGGCAATGGCATCCACCTAAGAGTTGCCAGAGCTGAGCTCCAGTGAGCTCAGGCTGAAAAAAATATCCCTGGATTCTTGTATGGTATTCTCATTAATTTTTGTGTTTTATGGAGACTTTCCACTAATGTATTTTATAGACAGTTGCTTGGCACTTTCCAAACCAACATGCAAATGGTACCACAGCCATCTTTTGAAATTTGCATTTTTCCAGCCATGTAAGCCAACTAATGTATATAATAATGCATACAGTAGGTTACAATAGGCATAAAATCATGTATTAGTTAAACCTCCTTGCAAAAAAAATGCATTGCATTACTGGAAATTGTGTTGCAAAAAATGTACATATTAGGCAGAAATGTGTGCAAAAATTTGTATATTATGAGAAATTTGAATTAAAATCCTGATGAATTCTCATGGTGACTTCTTTTTTTTAGAAAAATCTCGAACAAAGGTGCTGAACCGGAGAATGGAAAAAATGAGAAAGTGAGAGCAGCTGAAATTGTCAGATTTGTATAGCCTTGTTTCCTTCTTCCTTGCCAGATCTCTGGGGTGTCATCAACAATGCTGGGGTCCTGGGTCTCCCGGGAGATGGGGAACTGCTCCCTATGCAATCTTACAAGCAGTGCATGGATGTCAATTTCTTCGGTCCCGTTGAACTGTCAAAAGCTTTCTTGCCATTGCTCCGCAAGTCCAAAGGAAGGCTTATTAACATTTCAAGCATGGCAGGTGAGTCAAACAAAATATGTTCATGCCATTCATATATTTACAGGTTTGCTATTCTAGGCTGGCTGTTCTCTGCTCACTATCCTGCTGTCTTTATTCCTGTCGCAGATGCGCAGTGTAGGAGGATTCCCAGTTGAAAACTCCACTCATGCAAAAACAGTAAAAACAATGTGCAAGTCATGATTAAATGGATGGAAGTTAGGACAGAGCACACTAGGGCAGGCTTCCATATAACTGTCTAGTCTAGAAGTGGTGGTTGCTGGGATGGAGACCACAGCCTTCATGGTTAGACTCAAACACAGGGCTCAACTTCCTTCCCCCCCCACCAAGAGGAGAAAGATGGCTTCCCCGCTCCCCATAGAAAAACAACTGAGAAATCTGAGGTTTTAGCATAGCTGTGATCGGACAACATAATGTTCTACTACACAAAGGTAGCAGCAAAGGCCAATTCATCTAACTTACATCTTCTTTCATATGACTAGTGTGATGATGATGATTAATATTAATAGTGTGATTGTTTTACTGCTCGCAGATTTTGGCACTCCCTCCTGAGAGAAGCTCGACTGGCTCTCTTCTTGTTCCAGCTAATTTTTTTTTTGTTCCAACAGGCTTTGGGGAACTGACTGCCTATCATGAAAGGGCTGGTGCCAGGCTATTTTTATTGGAATTATTTGTGTGGTTTTAATAGAGTTTGTATATGTACAGTGGTACCTTGGGTTACATATGCTTCAGGTTGCATACGCTTCAGGTTAAAGACTCCGCTAACCCAGAAATAGTGCTTCAGGTTAAGAACTTTGCTTCAGGATGAGAACAGAAATTGTGCTCCGGCGGCGCGGTGGCAGCAGGAGGCCCCATTAGCTAAAGTGGTCTTCAGGTTAAGAACAGTTTCAGGTTAAGAATGGACCTCCAGAATGAGTTAAGTACTTAACCTGAGGTACCACTGTATATAGTTTTAGGTCTAACAACATTTTTTAAAAAATGATAGTTTTTTTCTATGTTTTTGGCAGTTCCTATTTTTATATATAAGCCTCTCGCCTTCTGTTGGATGTCATAGTTCCTGCATCCCCTGCGGTGCCCCATAAGCTCTGCACCCGGTACATTTGCACCATTCGCGCTCCCCTAGATCTACCTTTGCACAAGTCAGAGCTTCTGTACCCCTGGTGCATACTGTTAAAGACATTAATTGTCCTTAGCTTTAATTTTTTGACAGTTCCAATAAAGACAATGTAGCAATTTTTCCAAACATATTACTTAAAAGTGGACCCTATTTCAGAGCCATAAGAAGATAACATTATGAGATGTGTTCCTACAGAATAGGGAACAGCGCATTATGCATCTTTTAGAAATCTCACTTCTCTTTGGGGGCCTGTTAAACATTTGAAATAATGGAAACATGACTTGCTCGAGGCACTGTTGTCCGCGAGCCAAGGAAATTTGTGTTGGAATCTCTTCAGACTACAAGGTTTCCTTCCTGGCAGTCGGGATTGATGAAGACAGGGTAAAGCGAGGCAATTGGAAACTTGTTAAAAATGTTCCTTCGCCTCCTGTCTGTTGCTTTAGGCTCCATCTCCAGCAATGGCAGGAGTCCAATTGCTGAGCCAAATGGCGTATGTATTCATCAATTTCAGCAGGTGAAAAAATCTGGTTTGTCAAAAGTGTCAGCATCACTTTCGGTTCTGCAAAATGAGAAAACAGCCAACTGAAGAGCATTTGGAACAACAAGCTGATAAATATGTAACCAAAATACCCACAAACTCACTGACTAACTTCCTGTTGTATGTGTGTACTTGTAGAGATCATGAAAAATGTAGTTGGGTTTGCATTATAATGGGAACCTGCCTCATTTTTCCAGAAGATGTATTTCCAGAAGAATACATCAACAGAAATACAGCTATCCTTGAAAATTGTGCTTCTCCAGATTTTGCCATCAAGTGCATATTAGAGAAAATTGGGGGGAATGCATAATTTAGTGGAAATAACATACAAAGATGTGTTTATATTTGGAGAAACGGCTTGCAAAAAAATGTGAATATCAGGCAAAATTGAATGCAAAAGTTATGTGTATTAATTGTTATTGCTGCAGCAACAAGCAAACTGTTTGTACAGATGCATCCAGATCTGTGTTATATTTCTAGAAAAATTGGTGCTGGAACTTACCATGCACGCCTCCCTTGCTCTCTTATAATGGCAATGGCGCCCACCTGAGAGGAGCTGGAACAGAGTTCTGGTGAGTGCCGGCTGGAAAAAAAAAAAGCCCTTATCAAGATTGGTGATCTATCAGTGCACAAGGGCTATAACCTTAAAACACAAAGAAAAAAGAATGTTGATTGAGTCACACTGAGATTGGCCTTTTTGCAGTGTTTTATTAGTGTAAGTTTTCATTAGACATGAATGAATATGCCACTGTAGGTCTCTTTCAGCTTCTGATTTTTCCAGCCTTAAAATCAGTTCTCCACATTTCCATAACAGATCACATAATTTTAAAAAGCCCCCATGAAAATTCATCAATATGTTAGGGCAAATTTCTCATAATACACATACGTTTGTATGCAATTTTGCAAAATATACAAATTTTTGTGATTTCCCATAACATAATGCATGTTAATCTTATTTTCATTAATATGAGCATCTGCAGATGTGTGACAGATTGCCTGTTCTGGTCTAGGAATTAGTGTTAAGACTTTCTCCCAGTTAAACCAGAATTTCGGTGGAGTGTGATGCAGAACAGAGTGAACACTAGAACAATAAATTGAAGGGAACAGAGCAAACCCATCCCTAGGGAAAATCTTAATGCAATGGTTTCATGTCAACTACGTATTGCTGGGGACACGTGGATTGGATTGGCAGTGACCATGCATCTCCCCATACCATAGATTGGGTCATAGCCATTGTGCAACACCAATTCCATCTGTGTCAATTGCAACAACAGTCACTGTTGCAGGAGAAACAGGGCTTTACTTTACTCTTCTGTGCATTCTTGTCACTGCCCTTTTGTTCCATTATACACAGTCCCTGCTCACCGGAGTACATAGCAATGAGGCTTAACGAAGTCAATCTGACCTCAGTATTGGAATTACTGTAGCTAAGCAAGTTAAAGGGAGATAACTTGGATTTAGCACGTATCTCCTGAGAACAAAAACCGAGATAGGCTGCTAATAAAGCAGAAACGCTTATCGTTCCATCTATCTTGCTTCTTTGGAAAATTTTCAATCAGGTAATTAGAGAAGAGTTATTGCCTTCCTGCTGGTGTGCATTCAAACAAGTACATTCAGAGCTTCAACAATCAAAGGTACAGCTTTCTGAATTAAAATTTGGAGACATTCTCCATTCCAAAAAAATAACTGCTGGAGCCGACCTAAGGCTTATCAAGTTCACCATCCTCTTTTCACACCTCCCAAACCAAGAGACAAAGTGAAGACTATCTAGCCTTTGTTGTTGTTGTTGTTTAGTCGTTTAGTCGTGTCCGACTCTTCGTGACCCCATGGACCAGAGCACGCCAGGCACTTCTGTCTTCCACTACCTCCCGCAGTTTGGTCAAACTCATGCTGGTAGCTTTGAGAACATTATCCAACCATCTTGTCCTCTGTCGTCCCCTTCTCCTTGTGCCCTCCATCTTTTCCAACATCAGGGTCTTTTCCAGGGAGTCTTCTCTTCTAATTAGGTGGCCAAAGTACTGGAGCCTCAGCTTCACGATCTGTCCTTCCAGTGAGCACTCAGGGCTGATTTCCTTAAGAATGGATACGTTTGATCTTCTTGCTGTCCATGGGACTCTCAAGAGTCTCCTCCAGCACCATAATTCAAACGCATCAATTCTTCGGCGATCAGCCTTCTTTATGGTCCAGCTCTCACTTCCATACATCACTACTGGGAAAACCATAGCTTTTACTATACGGACCTTTGTTGGCAAGGTGATGTCTCTACTTTTTAAGATGCTGTCTAGGTTTGTTAGTTCACTGATGCCCAGGATGTCAATATTTATTCTTGCCATCTCATTTTTGACCACATCCAACTTACCCAGGTTCGTGGTTCTTACATTCCAGGTTCCTATGCAATATTTTTCTTTTCAGCATTGGACTTTCCTTTCGCTTCCAGGCATATCTACAACTGAGCGTCCTTTCGGCTTTGGCCCAGCCGCTTCATCAGCTCTGAATCTACTTGTACTTGTCCTCTGCTCTTCCTCAGTAGCATGTTGGACACCTTCCGACCTGAGGGGCTCATCTTCCAGCGTCATAACTTTTATATGCCTGTTGTCTTTGTCCATGGAGTTTTCTTGGCAGGGATACTGGAGTGGCTTGCCGGTTCCTCCTCCAGGTGGATCACGTTTGGTCAAAACTCTCCACTATGACCTGTCCATCTTCGGTGCCCTGCTCGGCATAGTTCATAGCTTCTCTGAGTTATTCAAGCCCCTTCACCACGGCAAGGCAGTGATCCATGAAGGGGGCAGTAATCCATGAAGGGGATCTAGCCTTTACAACCTCTACATTTTGCCCTGCAGCTCTCCAACCAAAGGATGCCTATTTAAAAATGTGTAGCAACATATTATTTTAGTGTGAAATTGCTTGTAAATGATGCATATGTTGGGCAAAATTGGGTACAGAAATGTGTATATTAGGAGTAATGTACATGAAAATGAATATGAATTTCCATGCAGGCTATATCTAATGTTGAGCTATGCTATAATCCTTCAGTCTCAGGAGGCTGTTTTTATTGCTCCCATAGGAGGTATCCCCATGCCAGGCTTCGCTGCCTACGGTGCATCCAAAGCAGCCCTATCCATGTTTTCTGGAGTCATGAGGCAAGAGCTCTCCAAATGGGGCATTAAAGTATCTGTGCTGCATCCATCAGGCTTCAAGACATGTAAGTTGCTGGTACTTCACCTGGTTATCTAGCTCATGAAGGGGGGGGACCTCCTTGGAGTCCTTACAGCCAAAACCATGAATGGCACAGAAACACCACTGTCACCCACAGGAATGTGCAAAGCCTGTACTTCGCTATTTAGGGTCCCAGGTGGAGTCTTAGTGATAGGTTGCATAGGGCAACACTTCTAGGAGTTCATCAATCATCTTCAAAAGGGGCAGACTTTTAGTTCCCCTTCCACAGAGGCGGCTGGCCTCAAAGGATTGTCTTCTTGTATAAATGCCAGTTTCCTAGAGGTCAAGGGAAGACACCCCAAAACAACTTGGGTTTATTAGATTCTAACCAGGCAGCTAATTTGTTTGAGAAGGTTTATTGCCAAGGTATGATGTCTTTGAATAGCCTGTGAACTGAAATGTGCAAAAGGAAATGCGGTTAGCCGGATGATCTATCATGGTTGCGTCCCACCTGAAATAAATCTTTTCATTCCGCATTATGTTTTTGAAGCATTTGTCTTGAGGTGGCAAATTGGAAGCTGTGTGCCTGACTCAGAAGATAATTAAACCAGCACACATCAAGTCCAAGCATGCCATCACTTTCCCAGACAAATTTTTTATAATAGCATTTATAAATAAGTGAACTAGTCTTCAACTATCCAGGGAACTCCTGAGACCACACACGCACACACTAATATGGATTGAAAAGATGTTCATTCATTTCTGAAGTACCGTCCCCATGGATTTGTGTGTCATTGTGGCCTTTTTCAATTGGTTCATTTGTTCCTTGGTGGCTATTGTGAATGGCTGAATATCTGTCCATATCACAAATAAGTCTTGCCCTGTATCAGCTGACTTTCCTAATTTCAAGGGGGAGATTGGACAGTATCTGTTTAGCTCAGAAGCTCAGAGATTAGAACTAGAATAGGGAAAGTGGTGGAATTCACTCTAGGCAGACAGAGCATCAAAGTGGCCCATAGCACACTTGTCTTCTCTCTTTGCAAAGCATTAGTAGTAGTAGTAGTAGTAGTAGTAGTAGTAGTAGTAGTATACTGCCCTTTATCCACATATGGGGTGGTTCACAACATACAAGTACAATATATAGAAATATAATCATTTATACATAATAAAAATAAGGACCAAATAAAGAAAACCAATACTCCTTCCCCTCCCACAACACATTTAAAAGGGCATTCCACAAAGAGCCTTAATCGCAGTGACTTTCTGCAGATTTCACCAATACTGGTGTGTGTGTTTCTTAAGAATTTTTAGAATAGGACCTTTGTTCCTATATGATTTAATCAGCTACTCTCATCATCTTCACTGTCTGCTAACTGGGCACTGCTGAAATGTGTATTTGCTTCAGTTTGTGTCTCATTGATTTACTGTTGAGGTGATTAGCTTAGCCATTAACCACCATTAACATCCATTGTTTTATCGTTAACATTTCTCTCACCTTTCTGTCCACCATGACTTTGCCAAACACACACAAAAAGGGCTGTCATTGTCCTACATCTTAATGTGGAATTTATTACTGTAACCAAAAAATGAGCTTTACTTGTATTTTGTGTGTATCAAAATGTGAGATGTATGCAGATATTTTTTATAAGAACATTGATCATTATGACATTATAATAAATGGTCATTTTTCCTACCATCCAGTTTATGCTTATTAATACATGCAAAAATATAATATGCATTCAAAAATGACAAAAGGGCGGTAACTCCATTTTGTATGTGTGTGTCCATCACCTCCTCATTGTCACTTGAACAGACAGTAACCCTGAGGCAAGATATATACTTCAGTGGGCAACTGCCAGCTCATTGAGTTGTCATCATAAAAAAATGTAAGCAATAATATTATTTTCAAAAGGCTAAAGGACCAGCTTGGGAATGATTAAAAATAGCAAAATGAGAACTGAAGCAAAATGGTATGGGCACTGAGTCCATGGAACAAACTGGTACCAGGATTCGGATTACATCCCTAATCTAGCATGCATATGTTCCAATCTGTCACCTGGGGTAGTTCCTTTAGGAACCCCATATTCCTCTTTTTCTAGTTATTTTATTTTCATCAGAACACCTGATGTCCTATTATGAAGCCTAGATGTTCAGTAGTGTTTTGTTCTGTCTTCCAGGTATCCAGGGAACTCCAGAGATCTGGAATAAGGAAGAACGCACCCTTCTTGAGAATCTCATGCCTGATGTGAAGCAAGATTATGGTGAAGAATACATCCTCAAGATGAAGATGGCTCTCAATGCCATGCAATTTCTTTCCATGTCAGATCTCTCTCCCGTGCTTTGTGATGTTTTACACGCATTATTGGCAGAGCGCCCATGTGGTTTAT